AGGACCATAAGAAAAACCAAAACCACTTCAGGATGGGCATTCCACAAGCTTGACGTTCCATGATAAATTTCCCATCTGGGAACTTCCAGAAGTTGTATTTCAAATTTAGGATGATGGGCCAGGAGCCACTGAGAGTTTGTTATTTGCATGTGACTTTTAGCTCAATCTAATGATACTCAGGGTCTGTGTCTAGTTCTATGCTCAAGAGTAACCCAGCAGTACTCAAGGATCATTTGCGGTGTATGAGATCACACTAGGGTCAGTCACCTGAAAGAGAAGCTCTCCTGAATTACCTCTCTACTTTCCATAACTTGGTTTTAATAGGAAAACAAATCACAGAATCAAAAAGCCAACTGAATTCCACTAATTTCAAGAAACTCCAAGTCAATTAGAGATACTTAGAAGAATCAACTCTGCAAGCCAGTGATGATGGTACAGAGGATAAAATATTTCCCTTGCATGTGGCTAACTGGTTCCACGCCCCACATCCCATAGCACCTCTAAGAATAATTCCTGAGTGCAGTGCCAGGATAACCCAAGCATTGTCCGCTGTGCCCTTTCTCCCCAACCCCCACCCCCACCTAAATAAGTATCAGCTCTTGCACTCTTGGAAGATCTCTATCTCAGGTTTACTCACAATGAGGGCACTTAAAATAGGACTGGTAGCTATCCCATTTCATCTTCAAGTATGTTTTCCTCTGTTTGTTCAGATCAAGTACGGCACTTAACGGAGACCCAGGAAGTTACAGCACTATTGAACAATTAAATCTTACTATAATGAAAGGTGGAGACTCAAGTCATAATGACCAAAATTAAACATCTGCTTATCAAAGAGGCAGGCTAGATGGTTGGGTGGGAGTTGTAAGGAACCTGGGAACACTGGTAGAGAGAAACTGATGCTTGTGGTGGCACTGGTGCTGGGAATATGGTATAACTAAAACTCAACTATAACTTTGTAAATTATGGTGTCTTAATAAAAATTTTCTTTTAAAAGGTGCTTCCCAAGTAAAATGTTCAGAAGCTTTATCTTTTACTGTTAAATAATTAAACACAAATTAATTTTTAAAATCTTAGATAACAGTTGCATAATTTATATTTTAGTATTGTATATATTCTTAGGAACTGATCATTATTTTTACAGAACTAAAATTGCTTATGGAAAACATCAGCCTTTATTTTTGTATAAAGATGGTTCTTGATAAATTTGAAGACCTAGAACCATATGCTTGGTATATACAAAGTATTTCAAAATGAACTATCCCTGACATTTATCTGGGCACTGAAGTAGAATCCATACTCTCACTTGAGTCCTATAAGTTCCTATTGAGAAGCTCACATAAATATATATTCATATACTTTAAATAAAAACAAAACAAGTGAGCCATTTAGAAACTGAGTAAGAAATTAACAGTTCAGTGTATGAAATGGGAACCTAGAATCAAACCAGGTCCTTTATTTGAATTTAGCACACTACTGTTGCTAAACTGTGAACAATATATTTTTTCCAATGATACTAAAAAGATCTTCACTTTTATATTGCTAAGTGATAAAGTAGGTGCATTTATTAATGTGGAGCACTGTATCTAGCAAATTAATTCACTATGAAGGGCTACAAAGTAATTACATGAACAGTCTCTTAACCTCTACAGGAAATTGTGTGGTGGCAAAGGAGTGTATCCAGAGCTCAGCGTAGCATAAAAAATTTTGATGATGCTAACTGTAGGACAACAATTGATTTGTCCTTTCTCCCTTGCCACAAGGAGCTTAGGTTTATCAGATTGCACCCATCACAGTGCTCCCAAGTCACTCCCATTCCTTCGTTTATCTGTAACCACTTCTCTTTGCTCTCCTCTCCAACCAGTTAATCAGCTTTCCCCCTAATCAGTATCTGCTAATTTGTAAGGTCAGATCCTTCTAGGACACTGACATTGTATTGTAAGTTAATGCTGCCTTTAGCCTCTCCTTATGTCTTTTAAATAGTTTACTTTAATGCAATGTCCTTTTTGTATAGATACAGGAAGACAACTAATATTAATGTTATGTTTTACAATTTAGGATTTAATTGACTTTGAATATTATTCACTCCCAGACATCTGCTTTCACGACTTAAGCCTCAGTTGCCCTTAGTTCCTAACACCCCCAAAGCAGGGTCCTGACAAGGGAATGAATGAACCCAGGGCAAGCTGTGAGCTACCCTGGCATCGAAATGGGCCAGGCCAAAAGTGCCATGATTCTTAACTATAATTTAAGAGCTTGATCATAGACAAATGCTGTCATGATCCAAACGTAACAACGAGACTAGGACCCTGCTAGGGGTAGGAAAGACTCTCTGGCCTGAGCACTGTAGTCTGAGATCGAGATGGCCCTAGAAGAGCAATTCTATAAGCTTAAGTATTTCTTACTGTATCCATACAAAATGATTTATATTATGTATGCTTATATGTTTGTTGGACAAGGAGAGGAGAAACACGCCCAGGGGATTCTGCTCTAGCGTGGGTAGACCTGCTAATGAGAATCTGTCCTAGACGTGGTTTTCCCAGAGAGAAAGAATTCTACCCCTATTGATTGTGACCACACCTATGTGTAATTGTTACCCCAACCCCTCATGCTGGGGGATATAACTAGACTGTAAGAGTGGGCTGGGGGATCAGGATCCAGACTCCAGAAGGAGAAGGAGAAAGGGATCCACATCCAGATTCCAGAGCCAGAAGGATGATGAAGAGGGATAAAAAAGGAGAATGTAGTAGCATGGGAGAGGCCTAGGAGAGAGACAAGAGTGAATGGAGAGAGGTTTGGAATAAACTGCAACTAAGACCAACCAGCCTGGCCCTTGTTCCTTCCTTCACCTGCCCATCACCACGACCTCCCCAGGGTGGGAGAACTGGCATGAGACTACCGAACGCAGGCGGCAGGAGATATAGAGCCACTGGTGTGGTCTTTTTTTGTTTGCACAGCTAACAACACATTTTTCTTCTAACAAAAAAATGACAAACTATCCTTAACTAGGTGTTACTGCTGACATTTAATGAATCTGATTCTTTAGGGCTGGTCAATGTATCAGCTGATCCATATCTAAACTCCTCATATTTGAAGAGCTTACTCAGTTCTCCTCTGTGAATGTCAATTCCAACTGGAGGGCAAGAAACTCTTTAGAACCCTGTTTTTTATATTGCTACTGCCTGTTGAAAATGTTCCTTCCTCCCGGCATCTCTCCACAACTAGAAAGGGAAAAGATAGTGTAGTTTGCTTTGCCCCATTACACCAAGTTGGTATTTTTAAAATTTTCCCACAAAATCAAGAATCTTCATTGTTTGGCGGAACTCCATTACTATTCTTTATGAACTAAAGAGGCATTTGTGAATTGGCCTGGGAAACTAAGAATCTTTATAAGCATTGTTTAAATTTCCTACAAGAAATTTTCAGAAGGACTTTCAGAATTCATTCCCATCTTCAGCTTTCAATTCCTCTGTGTTTGTAGAAAAACATATCTTATTCAGGAAATGAAAAGATGGCACCAGCAGAGCCCCTTTTCTTTCCTGCCATAAAAGCCGGATGTATATATTTTTTAAATAATCATTCTGCAATAGTAACTGCTCACCTACTGCTCTCTTCTTCTTCACCCACCCAATATAGTTGACAAATTGACATCAGTGTTAAAAACACTTAAAACATGTGGCTAGACAAAAATGATTAAAAGGCTCAAACATTAAGAAATTATAGAGCAAGCTTTAAATGGAAACATATCTAGCCATCTGTTTCGGATTAAACATCCTTAATGCCAGCAAAAGGGAGGAGCTGATCATTCTTAACACCCGCAAATACAATTATCTGTGCTGAAATTTGTAACTATTGAAGTGAAAATTGATTCCTAGAGACTTGGGTTTTATAGTTGTTAGTATTTTCTAAGATTTACTTATACTGGAGGTAAATCCACTGAAATAGCCAAATTGCATATAAATAATCTCTCCACTTCTCCCTGAGTTGATGCAATGCAATAGCTTAACCCTTATCCTACTAGATTGGTCATAATGACAGAACACATTTATAAGCTATTGATTCTATATCATCTCTTTTAAAATTATTACCTGCAAAACTGGAAAAGAGATAGTTGTATTATAGGAGAACAAGGTGACTTCTAAACCAACTCCTAAGACCAATGTAAAAACTGACCCCTTAATCATGTCCCTAGAAGTAGGTCTAACTAAAAATATCCTTTCTATTTTCTCATTCCTTGTTTTTGTGACTTAAGCCACCAAGTTACCATACAGTTTTTCTATACTAATGGAGTCACTGAAAACACAACCAAACAGGCTTTGTCTTCTGGGCATTATCTCTCCCTCTTCTGATACGTACTCTAGATGACTTTTATGGCAGTGCACAAGTTTAGAAGCTTAAGTGCAATCCTCAGCATTCAATTCTCACTTCTCAGAATCTCTCTAAATCTACTTCAAAAAATCAGCATGACCCTTCTTTGATACTTCCCATTAGTTCTTTCAACATGACACATAGTCAAAGCTCAATGTTGACTCTCTTTCCAGGTCAGCTGTAAAAATTACAAGGCTTAAGTTTTTGTGCTCCAAGGATATGAAATTGGAGAATTAAAAATTTTGACTATTCTTTCCAATAGCAGGGATATGAGAATTCCCTGTTGGGACCTTTATTACACCAGAAACACCCTGTGACTCTCATCGCACTCTGGAGCTCACAAAACCGTTCACTGGGATCCAGAACAGCAAGCCACAAAAATGAAGTTGAAAGTGAAAGAACACAATGAAACCCTTTGCTAATCCATTAAATGGGTGAATTCAGAAAGCTTTAGAAACAAACCAACAACCAGTAATAATTTAAAGACACACAGTAACACGAGCTTTGTGACAGAGCTAATTTTCATACTTTACATGAGTAGCATGCTATGCCATCTCAAAAAGCATGATCATTTTCAATTTACAAAATTCCTTTTATGTATTAAAAAAAAGTAAAAGGAAACATATTATTCCTACCTTCTTCTGATCTTCTAGCTTGTGACTCACTGGATTCTTCCCATGTCTGTTCATCTCTGAAGATAAATCCATCACATTAGGTTCTTCCCTTCTAAATGGAATCTCTTCAAAAAAGCAGCAAACTAATCCAAGATGCAATCAGTAGGAAAGTACCGGCATGCCACATTTCCCATCACACACCAGCTATGAACTTCATCAGCTCCGAGGAATGATTAAAAAATCCATTGATTGAATTTTAAAAAATGAATTTTGCAGTTTACTCCTGGGACTTTCCAAATCAGCATATCGTTTGTAAATTCTGACCTCTCGAAAGCAAGATATTCATCCAAGAATTTTAACTCCAACTGCTATCTTTTTCTTTCTTCACAGTTTTCCATTTTAATGAAAAGTTTCTTCAAACCTGTGACAAATAAAAAAGGGACAGATAATGGATACCACCCCATAATTTATAGTAAAAATCAATGAAAATAAGAAACTTATTGGTAAGCTACAATTTTTAAAAGACAGATATTTTAGGCATGGATTATTTTCGCTTAAAAGTGAGAGCACATCCTTCACGCCCTACCGAGGTCACCAGTTGCCCCCCGCGAGTGGCTCTCCAGCACGGCCACGGCCCCAGAAGCACAAGGACTTAATGCAGAACCCGGCAGCTTGGAGCAGAAAAGTGAATGGACTATGCGTTAATCCAGGCCATCAGGTCTGTCCAGAGGGGAAAGGGTGTTGCCCCAGTTGCCTTCTCCTCTCTGGAAAGAAAGATGGCGGCCGCATGGGAGCCTTGTGGACAGCAGGTATGAGCCGGGGTAGTGGGGGCGACTAAAACCTCATGGGAAGGGGGGCGTTTCGGTCCGCCCTTCACGCCCTACCGAGGCCACCAGTTGCCCCCCACTAGCGGCTCTCCAGCACGGCCACGTCTCCAGTGCACAGAAACCAATTTCTTAACAATCTGACTTTCAGTAGAAATACTTCCAGGGTCAATAAGTAAAATAGCAGAAATCCAAAACCAACATTTAATTCTTGAACCCAGCTGTAGAAAGCAAATCACTTCACAATGCTTTTTCAGCATGTCTGATTTGGGGGTGGGGGGGTAGACTCTAAATAATAGTGGTGAATCTTTTATTGAAACAAGGAATCTAATCAAAGCAAATAGAGTGTTAACTAGAATTCATCTGCCACACAGGGACTGGGAGGGGTGGGGGTGGGGTTTTATTGGGGTTCTTCATGGTAAAAAATAAGTTTTGGTAAAGGGAAATGTGTTTGATATTTGCATGACTGAGACCTAAACCTGAAAGCTTTGTAACCTTTCCCACGGTGATTCAATAAAGAAATAAAAAAAAAAAAGTGCGAGCAAAGATACCCCCACCACATCTCCTTCCAGACCTTCTGCTTGCTGCTCCACCATCCCAGGACAGGGAGAGAAAGCAGAGAGAGCCATCTCTAGCTTAATCCCTCAGCATCTTCCATGGGGTTTAACTACAAAGACTCAATCCCCAGCATTGCACAAACACTAGAAAAACCAAAAATAGAGATAGAATAGTAAAAGCAACAAGATTTTAAAAAGAACATACACAAAAAGGAAAGCCCACAAGATATAGCACACCCATCAAATGAGACTCTATAAGACAGAATATGGAAGAATATAGAATAAAAACTCAATGAAATGAGAAATTCACTAAAATAGTCAATCCAGCTAGATTACCATTCAGATTTGAGGGAACTATACGGAGTTTCATGAGCAGGCAACAGTTTAAGGACTTCACAGCCTTTTGCAAGAAGTATTAAATGAACTCTGTTAAAGAATAGGAGAAACTTCCCATCACATGGCATTGACTATGGCACTAATGGAGCATACGGTTGTCCTCCACTTGATTAATAAAGCTTAAAAACAGATAGCAATTAATCATCACACTTACTTTTATTGTTTTATTTTCAGAAAATCTTATTTATCATTCTTTTAAGTCCTTTTGGCCCAAATAATATTAAATAAATTTGTTATATGCCTGCCAAGGAACAACAACAGCAAAAGCTTCATTTATGACAGAGAGACCACAATAAGATCTGAATACAAAACAAAATGTAATGCAATACATTTTAGATGCCAGAGCTGAAAACTTTGTATGTACATGAAATAGATATCAGACGATATTGTGTTAAGTATTTGAATGTCTTTATTTACATGGTTTAAAATCATATAGCAACCAATCACTACACATTGACTTTTGTTGATTTAGTTTTTGATAATTTCAATTCTTTAAGATTTATTGGACCAGGAAATATAAAATGAATTTGTTATGTGCCTGACACAGGGACAGGCTGGGGGTGGCAGAAAACCTGGGAACACTAGTGGAGGAGAGGGAACACTGGTGGTGGGATTGATGTTGGAACACTACATCTGCAAAACAACTCTACTATGAACAACTTTGTAAATCATGGTGTCTTATTTTTTTTAAATAACAGCAAATAAATATCCATAGAATACTATAGAGCTATAAGGTGAAATAATTCAACTACATTACATAGAAGAAACGATGGAATCATGTTGAGTGAAGTCGACCCGAAGAGATAGATACAGAATAATCAAAGTCAACAGAACCTGAGATCTGGTAAATAAAACTGAGCACACCCTGACAGAAAGAAGGGGTGGGGATCAGAGTTGAAGGGTTTTCATTGGTGGAGAGGGATCCTGAGACAAATGTGGAGGTAAGTGTTAACTTACCCTCTGGGGGAGGGTCTGGTATTGGAAAGTTGCATGCATGACACTCTGTCACTCCTAGTAGTGTTCTGGGGCCCATATGGAATGCTGGGGATTGAACCCACGTTGGTCGTATGCAAAGCATGCATCCTACCTGCTGCATTATCTCTAGGCCCCTTCTAGAGTCTGTCATTAACCTCTCCATATATTTTTCTGTCCATTCCTTTTTGTCAACTCTTGCATTTTCTTCTATTCCTCTGCTCTAAAGCACATAAATTTTGACATTATTACAGGGGGAAATGCCATCGCAAAGTCTTGTACATTAGGGAAAATGAACAATTTTATGGAGCTCAAAAGGTCAATGGAAAGTTACTGAAGATTTTAAGGGAAGTACCAAGGTATATTTTTAATTTAAATATTCATCACAACAGCAATAGGTAAAGATAAGAGCAAAACTTGTGACAGAGAAACCTCAAGTAGACCTCAAGAGCAACCGAAGAATGAGACAAGAGTATAAATGAGACAGGTAGTATAAAAGTTGATAAAAAAAAATGTCAAGCAAAATATCTCAGAGTCGACTGGGTTTGGGTATATATGTGTGGGTTAGCAGTATTATGAGCTGGCTAGGAAATATATGATTTGCATGTGGGAACCCTAGGTTCGGTTCCTAACAGGTGGAATCATATGGTTCCCCAAGCACTGTGAAAAAACAATCACTAAGCAATACAAGCAATGCACGAGGAATAACATCTGCACATCACTAGGTGTGGCCCCCAAACTAAAACAAAATAAACAACATAAAGAATGCATGTGTAGGTCTGGTAAGAGGACTCAAAGGGCTGGAGTATCTGCTTGTATGAGAAAGGCCTGGGTTTGATTCCAGACACTGTATGGTCCTTTTAGATAACCAAGTATGGCTCCAAACTCAAAAAGTAAAAATAAAAATGACTGAATGGGAATACTGAAGATGGTACCAATTTCTAAGTCAATAAACCCGCAAGAAGTGCTTTTAAACTGGAGAAGATAAAAAGTCCATCAAACAAAGAAAAGCTGCACATGAAATTAAAAGTCAATCTCACTGATTTCTAGAGATGCAACAATCCTAAATGAGTATCAGTAAACTAAAACCAGAAAAGTATGAGATAAATCATACATCAATTCCAAGTTGGTATGATGCCAGGAATAAAAGATTGGTTTAAGGTTAGAAAATCAATGAGCGTAATTCATAACACTAAACAAAATAAAGAAGAAAAATAGTATGCTATCTATATTGACGCAGAAATATAATTTGGCAGTTTAAACATTGATTCATAATACCCCTGGGGCGACAGCACAGTGGTAGGTTGTTTGCCTTGCACGCAGCCTGCCTGGCCGAGCCGGGTTTGATTCCTCTGCCCCTCTTGGAGAGCCCAGCAAGCTACTGAGAGTATCTCGCCCACACAACAAAGCCTGGCAAGCTACTCGTGATGTATTTGATATGCCAAACACAGTAACAACAAGTCTCACAATGGAGATGTTACTGGGCCCACTCGAACAATTCGATGAACAAGGGGGGGGGGAGAGAGAGAGAGAGAGAGAGAGAGAGAGAGAGAAAGAGAGAGAGAGAGAAAGCACTTTTCTGTGAAATAATTAGTTTTTTTCTACGTACTTAGTTTTAGCACTTGAATACTTGTTAATATGACTTTTTAAATTTTCTTTTTCAGGTCCAGAATTCCCATACTCTACCCACTCTGCACCAGGACAGAGCTTCACTCTTTGTGCTGTTGACATAACTTCTGCTTAGTATTTTATTTTAAATCCTAGCCATGCAGTAAGACAAGAAAATGCAAACATTAGTTTTAAATTCATTAGATTATACCAACTTGAAAGTATAAATGTAAGCTATAAAGTAGGAAAAGGTATTTGTTTTTACATAAGTCCAAGTAAAAATATTAGACAGACAAAACATTTTAATAACTGCTCAAAAATAATAAAGATGGATAGCATATTAATGGTTGGTATGAGTTGTGAATGGGGAAAGAGGGAGTGTGTCTAACAGGAAAACTTGTATAGAACAATATTATATCACAATATTGTGTTATAGAGGTGGCTACATGGATCTATACATGTGGTAAAACTGATAGACCAATACACAAATAAAACTGGTGATAAAAGAAGAGACCTTGTGAATTGCTCTAAAGTAATTTTATACCTGTGACATTATACAAAGCCAAATAAGATAAACTACTGAAAGAAGCCAGATGAAGGGTATACAGGATCGCCATCTACTTTTTCTTGTCAATATCTGTGACTCTAAAATAATTTTTAAAAAGCAAATTGGGTGGGAGTGGGGGAAAAGGTTTTACAAATGACTAGTAAATACATAAAAATTCTAAATCCTCATCAGTAATCAGGAAAAAGCTCATGTAAGTCATGGTAAGATACAACTCCTTCTCGATCAAAATATATTTTTTAAAAAAGAATAAAAACTATTGACATTGAACAAAGTATAAACTTGCACATACTTTCCAAAATTATGTGGTACTATCTACTATATTTAGAGATACACATAATGTTTGACCAGTAATACAATTCCAGGCATTTATTATTCAAACCTTGGCAAAAGAACATCAAAAGGAATGTAAAATAATGTTCCTTCAGAATTACAAACAACCTGAAAACAACGTTGAAGTTCATTAATATTTGAATGAGTAAATCACTTGTGAT